TAAAATCTCTTTTTGTAGAAGGTCTGCGAATCGTGTGGCTCATGCCTTGGCAAAGTCACATGTTCAGATCTCAGATCAGTCTGTTGAATATTTACAGTTTCCGAGTTGTATTTCTAGCCATCTGGCTAACGATTTATTGAATTAATGATAGCATGTTTTTGACGATAAAAAAAACATACAAAAATACTGTTTCAACTAATTGTCCCAAACATATTACATATGCTAGAAATACTAAATCAGATTTAAATAAATTGCATTCCGCAGATGTAAAAACACCTGAATATTAGACATTATTATTATCCTATGTGCATTTATGGGCTTAAACGATAATATTATTTAAAATTCCATCGTAAATAATATGACTTGGTAGTCTCAGTTCCGCGCACACATTTATGGGGCTTATTATGGCGTTGAGTGCAACTCGAATATGAAGAGGAAGACGGACCAGAATTGAAGTTCCAGTTTGAGGTTGCTAACACGGATCACGTGCAGGGGCGGAGCTAGAGCACTAGGCCGGACTGGGCCGATACAAAGAATATTTTTTGAAAATTTTTTACACGGAATTTTTTACACTAAAAATACAGACATTTTTAAAATATGGGCTGGGCCAGGGCCAGGGATGGCCCTCCCCTAGCTCCGCCCATGATCACGTGAATCCATTAATTTTACATCATTATTTGAATGTACGTGAAATGCAAACGATGATTATGATTGTCAAATCAGATGACTTTTGTCAAAAGTTTTATACTTCCTCCGATCAGTGGCGGACCCAGAAAAATAGAGTTACGGGGTCCCTACTCTAATGTTACTCTAGTTAATATAAAATTAAAAGAATAACATGATAAACAAAATGCGGTATCTTAAAAGAGAAATAACGTGATAAACAAAATGTAGCATCTGAAAACTCTATTTCCCAGAAATGGTCACTCCAACTTCCCACTCATTCTATAAAAAAAAATAACATGGTAAAGAAAATAGAGCATCTTTGGCAATACTTTTTTTCAACCATTTATGTTCATCAAACTAACTTGAAAAAATCTACGTCTTTTGCACTCAATTATCTTAAAACGGAAATCATGATCCCGAGGGTGAAACAACCCTTCTTGAAGGTAACTGTGGCATACCTCGTCTTAAACATTAGGATGAAAATCAACAATCCCCCCCCCCCCCCTCAATCTATGATGAGCTTCCAAAGATTCAAAATCAACATGTTGTTTATGCAGATTATATGTGAAATTACTTTGACTTTCAGCAATTACTTGATTCAATTCTTCATTTACTAATGACAAATCATTTGAATTAACATCTGAACTACACACGGTACTCCAAATTCTTTTAAATCTGGGTACACTATCGAAACATATATTCATCCTAAATCGTAAAATATTGGATAAAAATATTCCTAAGTACACAAAAACAAAAGAAAAATCTCTAAATAGGACTAAAATATGGATAAAGTTCATAAATAGGACTATAAATGTTTTAATCCAAAAGTAGGAATCATTCACTCTTATTTTGGGAAGCTTTAATCAATTTATTCTTTTAATAGTGTTGAATAAGTCTTATTTGAGAAATAAAACATATTTAGTCATATTTGTGAACTTGTATATGTTTTAGTCCTATATTGAGCAATTTCTTTTTAATCTTAATATTCAAAAAAAGTTTAATAACTAATCCCAAAAACTGAAGTGTGAAAAGGATAAACAATAAAATATGGGAATTGAAAAACCAATAAAAGTTAAAAATGAAATATGGAAAGTTTAAAAAAAAACAAAAAAGGTGGAGGGAGTCGTACACTGAACCTCAACAAGAAGAAGCGCTTCACTAACCTGTACTCCCGTTCCACTGCATAAGCCTTGTGCTTCAAGTGTAGCTTTTGTTATTTATATACATTTATTAATTAATTTTATATGAAATAAATATAATATATATAGGTATTTTTTTGGAGGTGCCTGGGGTCCCGGGACCCCGTGGGACCCTTAGTGGGTCCGCCACTGCCTCCGGTTCAAAAACAAGTTACACCTTTCCTTTTCGGGCATTTTCAAAATTAAGTTCTACTTCCAAACCTTTCTTTATTTGACAAATTATCTACATCAAAACAGTTCCAAACAGTGTCAAACAGTGTCAAACAGTATCCAAACAGTGTCAAACAGTGCACTCCACAGTAAAGTCATATTTCTTTTCTTAATATGTGTGAAGTCAAATGTGGAACTTATTTTGGAATCGGATGGAGTATATTCCATGATTGTCTATATGACATTACTAATTAATTTACTATATGTTTAAATGATTTATTCGATTCATTAAATAGGTTTTGTAAAAGATTTATTGATTAAAATAGAGCAAAAATAATGAAGAATAATACGAGTATATGACCCATCCAAAGAACGAGAATGACTCTTCGAGGGACGCAAAATGTTTATCAACCTTACGCTTATATAACTGTGACTAGGGATGGTCGACCCTTCCCCGGGAGGCCGGGACCCCGGCCTGGTACTGTGCAGGCCCGACCCGATCTGATCAGCCGGTACCAGGACTGAGGGCCCGAACCGGGGGAGATTGGGGCGGGCTACGGGCTGATGAAATGGTGGACCCACCCGACCGGTGCGAGACTGATCCAGGCCCATTTCCCCCCCATTGATTTGCTGCTAGGTGGGTGGTTTGGGGGGTGGTTTGGGGGGTGGGGGTAGGAATAATTTCAAAAAGGCAAATTTAAAGGTGGTTTGGATCCGACCCGACTCGGTCCCGGTACAAACCCGGGCCTGTAGCGGGCCTGCAATCCAATTTTTTAGCCCCGCCCAATTCCTACCCGGGGCCAGGCCCGACCTGGGCCCGGTCCACCCTAAGTGTGACTGGTCGGTGGGTTCATCTCACGTTCGACAAGTTGACATGTTGATTAGCGTGAAATAAATGTACTTGTAACAATCGGATCGAGCAAATAATGGAAAACAAAAAGCACGAAAAAAGAAATAAAAGAGATCTGAATTATAATTAAACAAGGGAATAAGACTCAAATAGGACTAAAACAAAGGTTAGGAACGTAGATAGGAGTTACAACTTTTTAACTCCTAAATATGACTAATTTTTAATCAGAAGACAATAATACCCTGGGTCGTCAAATAGAGCGTGCTGCGTGCACGGCATAGATACCAGAGAGGGAACACACCAGGTGAGAGCACATCTCCGAGATGCGATGTGATGGCTGCCTGAGTCGTCACCGGATCGCTTCTCATCGCCGACTCGATGGTTCGTTTGTCACCGCCGGATCGAAGTTCGTCGCCGCCTCGCCGGAGAAGTTCTTGGAATCTATTATTTCAGTTCTCTTCCTTATCGTGGCATCCATATCTCAAAGGTCTAATACCAACCATGGTGGGAGCGGTTCCTTGGCCGAATAACGGAGGAGGCACGGAGAAGCCAAATAAGATTGGGCGGGACAATTGCGTGGCATCGGCGGCAGGGCAGAGCTTGGGGCAAAAGAGATGATCGACGGTAGGGACGAGGTACAAGGCCGCACCAATGAAGATGTTCCAGATCTCTCCTCTTTTCTTTGTTTCCGTCGGGGCTCTTTCTTCTCTCTTACATCTCACCCCAAGCTGCTCTGTTTCTGCGTGTCTTCCCGTCTGTTTTTTAGCTTTCTTTGGTTGTCTGTGTTTTGTTTATGTTTCGGTCTAGTGGTCAACTTTTTGGTTTCCTATCCGGTTGCTTTTTGGTGTGTTTCTTACTCTTTCTTTTGTATTTGAAATTTCCTTTTCCAAAATGTAATTTGGTTTTGTTTATTTTTATTGTAATTACTCTTCAATACATTTCTATATGTTATAATACATTTTCAACAATGTTTTTCCTATAGAAACCTGCAATTTTTTTTATAGCAATGTCATTGTCTTTCAGAATGTTGACATTTTCACGTCAGTCATCGATATCGGTATTGACATTGACAGTATTACAATGTCGTTGTTCTAGCATTGTCATTGCCATTATTTGACATTGTGAAATTATCTTGTGACTTTTTTTTATAAGATTGACATTGTCACATTGTCATTATTACAATATCATTTTATAGCATCGATATGGCAGTGATGACATTGTCATTGTTTAACATTGTGACATTTTTCGTACTTGGTGACATTTTTATAACATTGTCATTGTCATAATAACATTGACACTGACATTGACAATTTCATTATTACAATGTCAATTTTGTAATGTTGACATTGACATTGTGACATTTCTATGATGTTGTAACATTTTTTATGACATTATATAATATAGTCAATAATATTTTTTTCATTAAAAATTAAACAATGTACATCATAATTTTTTATTACTCTAAGTCTCTAACATTGTTTTTAACATTGTATTTTTATAAAATTAAATTGAAATTGTCATTATTTGATATTGTAATATTTTTTCTAACATTGATATTTTTAAAGACTGACTTTATATTCTAAACATTGTCAATATATATATAGAAAAATGTCATAATGTAAATAATGACAATGTCAATGCTATAAAAAATGACATTGTGGAGATAACAATGTCAATGTCGTTGTTAATGACTATCGTGACAATGTCATTGTCAAAATTAAATATCAAATTGTTCAACATCGTCATTATAAAATATTGCCAAAATAAATAATGTTATAGTTTTTGAAAAAATTATTAAATTGCAATACAAACATCACAATGGCAAAAAATGTTCTAAATTCAATGTTATAAAATATGACATTGTAATAGTAACAATATCAATGTCAATGTTATGCAAAGTGACATTGTAATACTGACAATGTCAATTGAAATTAAATGCAAATGATCAAATATCATAACAATGTAGCATATATATGAATTATAATGATGCCATTGTCTAAAATTTAATATTATTGTGTGAAACATGTCAAAGTGCTAACAATAACAATATGAATGTGATTATAAAGTGACATTGTAATAGTGATATATCAATAAAAATATCAATTAATGTTGTTACATTGAATCAAGTGGAATCAGCCGTTCTAATCAGCCACTTTGCACATCTCAACTTGTATTGAGGTGTTGAAAATAATATCAATATTAGTAAAAATGTACTGTTATACTATTAAAATCATTTAACAATATTACAATGTCAATATCATGTAATAACAAATGACAATCCAATGACGTTGTGACAATAACAATTCAATTACTCCCAGTGGAGTACATTTGAATAACCTAACAGTGACAGCCCCAATTAACTAAAAATAAACAAGGAAAAAAACGTGGAGTTACAATACGAAAAAGGAATTAGACAAAAAACCAAAACAAGAGTAAACAAGGAATAAACTAAACTAAACCCAATGGAATCACGTGGAATAACCAGATCGGCCAAAAAGAAGCAACCAAAGAAAAGAAGAAGAAAAGTGCAATTTTGATGCACTAAAACGAACCAAAAAAGCTCGGTGAAAAAACAAATTGCAGATCTGGGTGCAACAACAACGAAGAAAAATAAGGGAGAGCGAAAGGAGGAGGAGGACTCCGGCCGCCGCTGCCTTGTCCCCATCTTGCTGTCGCCGCCGCCGTGTCAGATTGTCGTTGTCGCCGCCGTGTCAGATTGTCGTCGTCGCCGCCGTGTCAGATTGTCATCGCCGTCTCTATTTCACTCGTCGGAAGAGGAAATCAGGAGGTCCGAAGGTGTGATGGGGTACCGTCCTTCCTTTCGTAGCTACAACAGCCGAGACCACCATCACTGATAGTCTGGTCCATGCCAGATCGAATTAAAGGAGAGGAGAAGGTACCTTGTTGCAATTCTATTTAGAAGAGATTAGACAGCGAGAGGATGCAAAAGAAGGGGACGGCCGACGGGTAGCCGCTACTATTAAATCAAGGGCAAAAGTGGTATTAAGTAAAATAATAGTCCTATTTAGGAGTAAAAAAGTAGGCGGTCCTATACGGGTATATAACTAAAGCTATGGTCCTACTTAAGACCATTACAATGATAATTATGTGGGAAATGTGACGAAATAAATACTTTTGATAGGCCAATTAACGAGTCCTATGATATAAATAAATGTATCAAGTATAGTGGGGCTTAAGGCTTTGATATAAATAACACTAAAGGAAAAGCTAAGAACATAAATAGTACTCCGTACTTAAAGTTTCTCCATAATGTGATTAATATAGTTATATAGGTCATTCATTACATCTGAGCTCAGAACAAGCACATTAATTGACCCCTAATGATACGTCGACACTCGCCACCGACCTCTATCCATATTAACAAATTATTGGTAGAATTAGCAGCATTTATATGATCAAAAACAGTATTTTATTAGTAGTATAGTTAATTGACATGTTTTAGTATGAATAAAGTTTGATTGTATATAGTTTATACATGCACATTCCAAAATCTAAATTTTCCTACATTGTATTACGAATAAATTGACTGTTTTACTAGGTTTACCTATATGTATTTCGGAATATTACCTACTCCGTATGTTTATTATGAATAAACTTGGTAGTTGTTATGACTAATTAGAATATATACTTACATGTTACCTAAGTTTTAATAGGAATGAACTTGATAGTTATTAGAAAAATGGGTGGTGTACACAAAATGTGTACACCTAACAAAACTCTAGTTATTATGAATAAATTTGATTATTTCTACATATGTATATTCGAAAAATCCCAAATAAAACGTATAAGTTTCAAAAAGTGCCAATTTTATTCATAAATTGACACACACACAGAACTCTCCATGCTTGACCAGAACTCGTCGTGCCCTCTCTTCCATTTCAGATGGTTTTGGGTAGATTTTTGATAAAATTTTGTGTGTGTTCTTTATTTTCTTTATAGAGTGTAGATTATGTCACAAAATTTCATCTCAAAATCCAATTGAGAAGTCAGTTAAATAAATTATTGAAAAACACTGCACAGATAAAGTGAAATTTATATATCCGTGCAATGTTTTTCAATAATATATTTAATTGACTTCCCGATTGAATTTTGACCTGAAATTTTGTTGACAAATCTACACTTCAATGATGAAAATGCTCACAAAATTTTATCAAAATCTAAAAGGATGAGACTCTTAAGTGTTCAATACAATCGATAAAAGAGGAAAAAAACTAACACATCCTTATTTGATGTACTTATTAGTTCTCATAATTAAGTAGGTTATGTCAATAAAAAGACTTACTTTGATCAAAATGTTAAAGCATATATGTGGACTGTCCAGTTCTTCACCATTCTCATGTGAAATTGTGGCCTACAAGAGGCCAACAATGGCAGTGGTAGTTGGCCGGCTAAAGAAAATTATCCGAGGAACACTACAAGAAGTGTGACAATGGTAGTTTGATTCTCAAAGATAGATTGGCTATTTGTACATTTTTTGTTATAGTCCCACATGGCCACATCAGAATCCAACTAAAAAAGAGATGATTTGATTTTTTTTTTAATGAACTGGCTATAACTAATCAGTTCATTCAATTTTTATAATATGGTTCGATCAACTATCTTAGAATTTGTTTGAATTATATGATTATATCACATGTTTCCTTGTTCGTTTCAATTGTCAACCTTACCTTACAATAATCAACTAGCTACTGTGACTTCAATAAAAAATCGACTAATTAGCTGCGGTTGCCTTCAAGGCAAACATGAGAGAAAATGTAATTCTCAAGCACGCATTGTAAATTGTAATATGAGATGTAGGGGAGGACTCAATCAAGTTCTGCATCCCCACCAGCCAGTTCTGGAAAGGGTGAAAACCGAACCATATCCGAGCATATCCAGCTCAGTTCCCGATCAGTTAAGGACTGGTTTCTTAATCTTTCTTTCAAAGATTAAGAATTGGAACAAAACTGGTCCGACCCTATTTTGGACGCACCGGACTAGATTTGGATCATCTCCCAGTAGATACTGGTTCAAGATTGGAGGACCAAAGGCGGTCCAATTTCTGGCAAAATAACAGGTAGGATCCAAGTTTGGTCCAGTTCCAAAACATGGAACAAGTGATCCAAGGATGTTGAACACATGTTTTAAACAAAGCTACTAAGTACAACCAAGCTATTCGTTATTTATTAATACCATATATGCAATGTAAAATACACCAAAGTAAAAAAAAAAAAAGGAACAAGCAACCAGCATTTATTGCCACCATTTCAGTCCACTGCATTTCTTCAAAACCTGAAATTTTCTGTAAGGTGTAAAGCCGTTTGGTTATGATGAGGATGACACATCTGGTTTGGTTATGGCTTATGTCTTTCTTTCCCTTGCAAGCCTTATGGAAGTCACATAATCAACAGGACTGTGAGCAGCAATTCCTGGAATAAAAAGTCCAACCATCCTCCAGAGGATTGACTCCCAACTCTCTTTGTATTCTTCCCCATATGCGTAGCCCATCCCCAAACCTCTGATCAACTCCCAAACAGCATTTAGATACATCGGTATCATGAAGCGTATCCCCAAGTAGTTTGGGTTTGGTTCTTCATCTACTCTCTTATAACAAGGATGGAGAAACAAGTCATGAGTCATTGTTTTTTATTTCCAGAGATATATGATTGTATGTGATTTGCACACGGACTCTGACATACATAGCATTTGTTAAGGGCTCATTTTGTATCGGTGTCAATTTTCAGATTTTTTTGTTTTAAAGTTTCAAAAGGTATATGTTGTAAAATAAACTAAATAATGACATACTAATTTATGTTAATTTTGAAAGGTAACAACAAAAAGCAGCAAAACCTTTCCCAGTTTACGGAATTTTACTTTTTTGTTATCAAAAAAATAAAAACCATAGACCAGATAACGATACTGCATAAGGCCTAAGCTAATTGAAATAACAATTTTCATATGCAATTCTCACATTTACCATTCTGTAAAGTTACTTAATGATTACTCATATCTTCGAATTCTCTGAATGAAAATTTAAATACGGGTAAGGTAGAATTTAAAAATGTAACACACCTAATATAAAACTGGACTATTTTTTGTGGGAATGACCAAAAAGAATATAGGGTCCTCTTTTCCTTGTGTAGGGAGTGTATTTCCATTTAATTTATTTAAAATTACGTACAATTTTAGAAATTCCAGCATATTCATTGGGTGGGCAAATCTTTCAATATATGCACAACCTCAATATATATTGTTTGATGACAAGGAGGATATTTCAATGTATTGATGCAAGGATGAAAGGTGTTTGGAACCTTACTTGTTCAATATACATACTGTTGTAGTAAAGGCACGCCCCGAAATGCTTGTACAAGAACGTCTTATCATCATAAGGTAACCTTGGGACAAGGTCATTGCAGTAAACAGCCCGGAAATACTTCGGAGTGGGATGATTTAAGTGCTCCTCCATATACCACCCTAACTTCCTATTCCCAACTCTAGGTTGTCCGTATGTGTAAACTCCCAACAGCCGTTGCATCACTTCCTCTTCCTTGTGCATCGCTAAAACCGTTGGGAACAAAATTGCAAGAGCCCCGCCTAAGCTATGCCCCGTCACGACAAATTTTGCTTTATCATTCTCTTTTAGTAGACTTTTGACTTTCCTTCTAATGGTGTAGTATGCAGATGAATCGTCTGAAGGCCATTCAGAGTTGATAGATGACTCTGAACTTTCTGAGTTTTGCATAAAAAGTCGTTCTTGGAATGTATAAACATTCTCTCTGTTCCCTAACCCCAAGGCTTCCAAGAATCCCATGTGTACTTTTCCCATTTCTGGAATTTCATACCAAGAGTAGTCAAAGTCAGTGCTCCAGTCATCGGCATCAAAGGGTTCTGTTCCCCTAAAGCCAACCAATATCAAGTTTGCATCTTTTGGCTTGTCACACATTATAAAAACCTGGGTGGATTTTTCTTGTTGATAGTCTGTCCTATGCAAACAAAAGTCATGAAAAAGAAACCAAATAATAAAAAATAAGTTAGTGAGTTTATATGCGTTTTTTTCTCGAAATTTGCAACGGTTCACATGAATGATATGAGTGGCATAGGTTAAATTCTCACCATTCCAACAATTGTAGAACTCAACAAAATGCATCTGCTTTTACAAAAAACAAAATTCCGGTTAGTTCTTGAATTGAACTCACACAATTGGGATGCCACATTTTCAAATAATATGTGCTTTTAACAGGAAGGGTATTTATCTTTACTTTCTGTGCTTATCCAAAGAGCATCATATTGACCACTATGAAAAGGAAAAAACAGTTTCAATGCTGAAATGAAAAAGGTAGTTGTTACAAAAGCACTTAGCATATTAGTCATCCCAAACATGCCGGGTAATACCTTCCAGTGAAGATTTACAACTTTCCTGACAACATTTACGTTCTCATAGGACAACTTTGAGGCCATCATACAGAGGTCCATAAGAGCTCGGTTTCCGGCTTCCAACGGCACACTTACCTTTGATGAATCAAATTCTCCAAGTTCATTAAAAACCACTTCGCTCTTGTATAGGTCTATACGCCCATCCAAATACCCAATAGCACTAGTATATGTTTCAGATCCTCTCTCTGGCATGACTAGTTGCCCTGATTCCATGTAGTAATTGATACAAACAGCATAAATATAAAGATCAAAGTAATGACTAATGGGCCATCATTTCCAGCTCTATTACAATAGCAACATTTCAGTATTTGTATTGTGAATGAAAGACCTGCTTCAAATGCTTTGAAGCATTTGTTATGAAATCCTAGTCAGAAACAATGATATTTGCTAACTTGTGAATGGGTCAAAGAGACTCTAAACGGGCTATCCCAAACAATTAGTGCAAAAATATCTTAAGATATGAGGTTTTATCCTTCAACAAAACTGAATAGCCCGAACTTTATACAATGAGTTAAAAGGATGTGGGGCAAATGATTCGACAAAGAAAGATAACCATATTACCATAAACAATTATGGAGGAAAAGAAAGAAAGAAGATCAGTTTACCATTGATGAATCTGTGGAAGAAAGTAAAGAAGTTGCCGCCATTAAGAGAGAAGAGGTTCAGTAGGAACTCCAGAAGATAGCCAGCCCACTCCAATGGTTTTTTGAAGAAAGCTAGCAACTTCCTCGCCACAACAGACACGACAATCACCCATCTATGTATCGGGTCCTCATCTTCTCCGTCACCAACCTCCCGGAGTCGATCGGTGATTCCCCGGTAATTGGAAGTTGTTTCAAGAAATTTAGCACCGCTTTGCTGGTGACCCATTACCCCAAACCTTAGAACGTCCATAATTCCTCCATTTTCAGGCTTCACTATCATGAATCTAAAATCCCCGCCGGCGCCGGAACCAGCCATCTCCGGTAAACGAAAGAGCGGGTTGGTGGGTAGTTCACTGATTTATTTACAGAAAGGCGGAAACCCGTTCGAAACTGTGCCTATGAGAAAGAGTTTGCAAAACCCAAATGGCAAAGATTACAGATTTTACAAATGAATCAAAGAGAATTTAAAGCTGATTTGAAATAGTAATGTAACGGTGAGGATGGACTTGACACTTGAGGGGGGTTGGTATGGGAAGAAGCTTCAGCACACCACTGATACGTCATTTGCCAGCTCTGTTCCCTCACTGCAACTTAAAGGCTTCCT